ACAGGATATTAATGAATATCAAGTGACACCAAAACCTATGGAGAATGAAACGCTTTATAATTCGGGTGATGTTTTGCGGAAAGAACCGGTCTCTTTTGTGTGTTGGGCTGTATAAAATGAAGACCGTGGAATGTTAATTGAATTCCATCCGATCAACTAGGGCAATTGGAGTAACCGCTGAAGAAGAAAACTCAGTCAGTAAACAATAGACTAAACAGTTGCTTTACGAGCATAATTCCAGAACTGTATGGCATAACTTCCAGCGACAGAATTCAGTGTCGTAGTTCAGATATTCACAGCGGTTAAGCGCTCACGTTTTGTTTACCAGATACCCGGGGTTAGTTCTCAATCACGTCGAAGGAATGGTACTGCACCGTTCCCCATAGTTTGTATTCGTGGAACATCATTCTGGACAATCCGATACTTTATTGTCCTTCTTGATCTTTCCCTAGATCTCCCCTTGTCGATACGGAACTATTTCGATGGACAAGTGAACCAAAACTATTGAATGATACCTCATTACGTGAGATATCCTACCTTGTTTCTGATTTGAAGTAGTTCAAGCCTCACTGGTTCGATAACATAACGTGCGTTTGGTCACAAAACTGAACACAGTGCTGTCGGTTGCCAGCCGATTGAAGCAACCGGCAAATGGGAAACATCAAGTGATACAACCACAGAATGGACTGAAACATGGACACCAAAAGTTGCAAACACGATAGTTGTGTGACCGCAAACGTTCGAACAAAAATAAATGACAGTTGATAATGGACAAACGTACAAAGCCGAGGTTAACAAGATGCATCTGTTTTTACTGTGCAACTAAGTTATTAATATGCGTGTTTATTTGCAAACAATGTAAAATTGGTCACTTCAATGTTACCCCGGGTCGTTACTTGAAGGACACAAGAGTGAGAAAACAAAAAAACTTTGGATGGAACAGTTTTCAAGTAGTGCATACTCCTAGACAAAAAGGAAAATCCTGGCAACCTTTCCGATTCTCTTGGAACCGAAGAATGAAGTGATATCTTATGATTTGAAATTTTATGAATAATGCGAAATTATTCCCTATTGAGTGATCATGAAAATATAAGTTAACAAATGAGTTCATTTTTGGTGCTACATTAGCTGGCTTAAAAGAGCAGATTCTATAGTTGATTAGGCCTCCAATAGCCTCAGTATGATCGGTGAGGATATCTAGGGTTCTGGCTGGTCACCCTTCCCTTGCACCTCGCGAAATGCTCCCATACGACCAAGCCTCTGCTGAGGAAGCCCTACTCACTGCAATCTCGTGGCGGAGGTGCTTTCCCACCAAGCTGAGGAAACGAAAAGCCGATATCCGGGGCTACAATCGGGTTGGTGGACCACTGGTAGTTCACCTAAGGTAGTTGACCCGGAACCCTTATTCAAAACCAACCAAGAGGAGGCGTGCGAACCACACTCACCCACACCCACCTGAATGTGGCATTGGTCACCGTCTCGATTAGGTATCAAGGTGTACCGGGCACCTTGGACGTTTGACCCCGTCCAAAGGGCGTATGATCTGATGAATAGGACACCAGCCCCCAATGGATTGCGGTTTTTGCGCACTGCCCCCCCTACCTTGTGGTTCAAGCTTTGGCTAGTCGAAGGCTGCCGTGGTGGATTCCTCGAGAAAATTCACCTGCTTGACCTGGGCAACCTGGCGGTATTCAGACCCCATGCAAATCATGGAACGCTTTTCTTCTTTATAAAGATTATTGTACCATGATTTGTTTGGCACACAGTCTGGCGTCAGATGGGTGCGAAATATATATAACGTTATCCGCAGATATGTGTCTCCTATCACCAGCCGTTTAACCAATTATATATATATATATATAATTGGTTAAACGGCTGGTGATAGGAGACACATATCTGCGGATAACGTTAGTTTGGTGCACAATCGGCATATGAGGATCACAGTCCCTCCAGTTGCATAGTGCTGAGTCGAAAAGAGTTTCAGTGCTTGTATTAATTCAGTTTTGATTTTAGATGCTAGTGCTTTAAAAAGTTAACTGCTTATTCTATACATGTGTTTTAACGCTTTATATTTCAGATACTTTAGCTATGGAAGTTCCACGTTGATGATGCACCCAGTGTGCAATAGAACGGACAACAAGTGAACGGGGCGATTTCAATTTAACGAGACAGTATCATCTCAATATGAATGAACGGATTATTTAGATTTACATTGTTTTCTATCAAAATCGAATATGCTGATGCATCGGTTTCCCTTGGGGGACGTTGTGCAACGTACTTCGTGTTCGCTGACACATAGGTGTTTACATTGCGGTGTAGCCCAATCCGTTCGAGCGCTTCATGAATCATGGCATTCTTTTTCTCACGTTCACTGATTATCCGATCCCGTCGAGCTTCCAATTGACGTTCCGCTTTCTTCCGACACAAGGTCAAACGTTCTTGCAGTTCTGTTACAGACATTTCTTCGAGAAAACCGTATCCAGGTGTTTGGGTGAGGTCAATCTGAGGTGGGAATGATCGATTGAGGTG